ATCTGACGGCTCATAACCACTCCGCCTTTGCTTCAATGGAGCCGAGGAATGAGGCTGAGAAGCTTTCCTGCTGCGTGGCAAATTCTCCATTTCTCTGAAACTGAACCAAAACTCGCTCTTTCCCAACTTTTATTCGTGTTAAACAATGTTAAAACGATCTAGGAGGGGATGAAGATGCTTATTAAATTTAAGGAATCCGATAGTTACAAAGCATATGCATCGGTGAAGACTATGCCTTGGTGTGAACAGTGGAGGTTTTATCCAGCAGTTTAACAATTTCCATACTCTTTGTTTCCTGTTATTTCTAAGCTTCCTCCGAGGATGCCTTTGTCTCACCCTTTTCTGTCGCTCCGTCGCATTACCTACCAGACAAAGAAATGTTGAATCCTTGGCATGGAATGTGTGCCCTCACTCTCTCCCTGGAAGCTAAAGCTGCTTAATTCCCCTTCTTGTCAACGCCATTTAACTTTGATTAATTTATTCTGAAGGTGCTTCTAGTTGCCTTCCAGTAGTTCATATTCCAAAACTGTCAGGCAGGATGGTCTTCTTAGAGAGATATTTTAGTATCTGCCGCTGATGTTTTGGACTTTCCGAACCCAGAGAACAAGGCCGGCTACTTTTGGTTGCATTTGTCTACTGTTTTTTAGCTGTAAAACAAGCTTATGCTAGAACCATCAAAAGGAAAAACTTTCTTGAAATATTGTCACCTGGATTGCAAACAAGGCACAACCCAAACAAAGTTCGAAAATGGTATTATCAGACACCTAATGGCTTTGTTTGATCTTGGATTTCAAATAAAAGCAGTTGTTGTTTTATGGTGTCGCATCTCAAATGAAGAATCTGAACAGTATTAATGCTCTTGGAAGGCATATTCTGCAATCTAAGCTTAAATTTTAATCAAACTCATCTTTACTAAAAATTCTAGACGACAGGAATTAGAAAGCGTCATCCCAATTTATTGTTAATATAATCTCTACTGAATGTTATCTCAGTTGGAGCTATTTGTTACTGACTGCTGAATTGATTTGTTATCATCGGAAACAATATCACATTTGGCTCAATCTAGAGAAATTCCATGAATGAAACTTAAGGCGGATTAGATTGTATCAGCCTGATTGTCAGAGTTATTCTTTGCAGCCTGTTCAAGTACATTATCTTAGGCATGTACTGCATTTCTTCTCAAGCATACATTCGCCATATTTTGGGCTAAGATTTTAGACAAACTGATGCAGGTATGCGTCAACAGTAGTATACTTCACTTCAGGATAAAGCTCAGATGCCTCTAAACCAAAACAAGCTTCTATCTTAAAATTTGAAGCCTCTCCCTTCACCAACATAGGGTGGCCGAATGACAAAATGAAATTCCAGGGAATAGGCGCCTCTGCAGAAAACCAAAGCAGAACCATAGATTAAGGACTGCTTGCTTCTTCATATTTACTGATATCCATGGTGTTTAAGAGTCAGTCAAGTCCATCAAACTTTAAGCCCTAGTTTCCTCATGCATAAGCCTATTTGATTGAGCTTAGACTAAAGTTTCAATTACTGCAATACGGGCACCAAGAACTCAAATTCTGGATCATTAGGCCAAAGAAGCATTGATAAAGGACAATATATTAAAGAATTTCTGGTTTTTACCGCATGAGACTGCTCAATGGCTTTGGCTTTGGGTGCAAGAAAAAATTATTGGACAAAACAGCTTGTCATCCAATATTAAAAGATAAAATGCAGCTAATTCATGATAACAGATAGGTTGGTGGCATTGTACCTTAACTTTTTGGCCATTGGCATTGTACTTATTTAAGATTGTTAACTCTGACTTAAAGCTTTCCATTTTAAACTAATTTCACCAGTCACCACCAACTGCCTTTTTCATTTTACTTTAAATTATGTAGTCTGATAATTGGAAATGAACTATAAGGGTACTAACGGACTTAGAATTGACAACTAGCTACTATACAGCAGCTGGTATGAGTTCTTACCTTGAATGATCTGAAGAAGTTGGTCCTCGGGAACATAACTCTTTACAAGGGTCTTGCCAATTTTCCTCTCCCATAGGGAGACTATTGCATTGGAAGACAAAACATTGGAAGGCGGTCTTATGTAAAGGATCTTGTTCAAGGTTCTTGGATCTTCAGCTGCTTTAATAGTGTACATTGCTATGTCATCTTCCTGGACAAAAACAGCTGAAACATGGAAAACATCATAGCTCTATCAGCACAACTCTGTAATTCATCTAAATAAGTTGCATCTACATGTTGAAGACTTGAAGCCATTCCCTCATAACCAGGGTACAATCTAAAGCACAAGAAAGACAACTTATAGAAGAAAGATCAAAGTTTGTGCACCTACCTTTGGGGTTGCCATCTCCTAGTATGACTACCTTGTCTCTCGGTGGAGCAGTGGCATTTTCCTGCATTAAATTTGGCAAGAAATGCCCTGCAAAGGCATTGGATGAGATATATGTGTATGGAATCCCTTCAGCCTCGATTGCTCTTCGGATTTTAGCCTTAATCCTGAATATGCTTGCAGCTGGCTCCACTGCATGGACACGGTCTGCATCCATGCCAAACTCTGATGGAAGGTATCTCTGAAACCCACCATTTCATTGTTACAATCAAGCTCTCTTGCTTCTTCAGTCTGACAAAGAGAAGAACAGAAAATGCAGAGAAAATGATGAAAGTGAAAATACTGAAACAGCTTGCCTTGACATTTCCAGCTTCTTTGATGACTTCAATTATCCTGACTTGATCCGCTAGCTGTTGTGTGCCTACTGCGGAGATCACAATATCAACTTGCTTGATCGCCCTCAACAAGCTCTCATGATCATAGATATCAGTAAAAGCAACAAAATTGGCACATAAAAACTCAAAAAAACAAAAATTCCAGAGTTCAACTCTATTAAACTGATGAAAATTATTCCAAGTCTAAGAACATACATAAAGTACTGCTACTCCAGAACCCTTGAAACTCTCTATCAGCTTTGCCTTTCCGGGATCTGAAACTGTTCTCTCCCTGACCAATAGAAAGGTGGGGTGCCCCACTTTGGTGCTTGCCTCTACTATAAATTTGCCAATATACCCGGTTCCTCCAATTATTAAAATTTTGCTTTGCTCAGCCATGTCAACTAAACAGAAGAGGAAAACCTGTGGTTTAGTTTGAATAAAGGGCGGCCAGTGAGTCTCAGATAAGAGATGGTAGTTGGAATTATTAACAAAAGGAATTTGATTCCTTTGCTTTAATTAAAAAAGTTTGACGGACGGTATGGTTAGACTACCTTTATCATGACAGTCCTCTCATCTTGGCTTTTTGATATGTAGCAAGCTTTGAATTTGTGTTTCTTATGAAAGCTTGCTTTCAGGGACATAAGGAACGATAACAGTAGCATTTTTTTTTCCAGTTTTATCCAATTTTGAACTCAAGCAAACATTTGACATTATTAGTGAAATAATCATTCCAGCTTTTCTAGATTTATTTGATCCCAGGGTTCCCTTTCCTGCTTGAGAAAGTCAAAACTTATGAAGGTCTGCTATAATCTGTGTCTGCAATAGAGCATAACTGAAATTGATTATTGTACTATAATTACAGATACTGCTGAATGTGAAAAACTTATCATACTGCTGAATGCCTTTGTTTCCAAGAAACCTCTGATTACCGCTGATCAATCTATCTTTTTGCATATATATGACAAATATGTAGTGCTTCAAGAATTAACTTCAATAAATGGATTTCGTGTTATCTCCCAAGTGAATCTACAGTCAGGGTGAGTGATGATGCCATGGAACTGGACATCTTCACACTGTTTGGAGAGAAGATTTTGCTGCTAGAGTGGACAACCAGTCCTCCAAAGCCTTATTAACAAGTTCTGGAACTTCATCGTGTGGACAGTGCCCTGCCTGTAGGTTTACAAGAGTTGTGTTTGGGTAGAATTCTTTGATTCGAGTAGCCTTGGCAGGACCCACCCAAGGGTCTAAGTCACCCCAAAGCAACAGCAGCGGGCAAGTTAGCTTGCTCAAGAAACTGTCTAGAGTGTACTCAGTTTGATTCAACATGAACCGTGTCATTAACCTGTGGATAATCAACAGAGTCAACATCGCATATAAAAATGAATGTAGGGGAAGACTCAGGAGATGAGGATAATAGAGAAAGAGAGATGCATAGCTGTACATAAAATAGTGTTAGCTACAAATTTTACAGACACCATTTTCTAAATCCTTCAAGTGATCAACAGGCTATTGCAGACCTATGTTACTCATTTTCAGGCAAAGCAAACAATTCAGGCCATGAGGAACATTTTGAAAGGTCTAGATAAGTATTCAAATAATTGACATATACGCATCCTGAAGTATACCCGAGAGTTTTCTTATCAGGACAAAATCAGGGAGCCCATTTACATGCGTACCTATAATACACTTCTCCAGCATTGGGATCATCTGCTGGCAATTTTATGGATTCGACAAGATAATTGTCCACATTAGAGGTATTGATATACACCTGCATTAAGAAAAAGATAGTGACTATCATCATAGTACATGATGAATACAGTCTGACTTCAAGAACTTCAATTGAGTACAATATTGCAAAAGTATGGGAGATAGAAAAAAGCCATTCTCCTTCTCATGACAAGTCAGTTAGAAACATTGCTAAATGAGCAGTATCACTGGTGGCTTGATGGCTTCTAAGGAACTGCAGAATATTGCTGATGCTATGTCTTAGGATGCACAAAAAGTTTATGATAGATATTGAGCTCATAAAATAATCTAAACCTTCAAAATTCCAGACAAACTTTATAAGGAAGCCTTAAGTAAATAAGGCTGTAGGTAACATACATTTTTCAGGACAGATTCAATACGAGCAGGTTGCTTTGCTTGCCAGAACAAAACCCCAAGAACTACACGCCGGAAAACTTCCTTCAATGGCTTTAGAATAAATTTCTGTAAGACTGTTTCCTCTGGTTTGGTGGTTTTAGCCTTTGTGTCTCCAAACTGTCCAGCAGAGTTCAGTAATGCCAGTCCAACAACTTGTTCAGGCAACCCGACTGCTGAAACCAAAGCAGTAAACCCTCCAAGACTGAAAATTTACCATGAATTACAGAACTGTTACTAGGTATGTCGTGTCAAAAGAGAAATTGCAATAAGAATGCTGAAAATGGTTAGATTTAGCACTATAGAAATAAATTAGAGGTCTATTAATTCACCAGCAATTTCTAGGATGCAGAGATGGCATATGTGTCTATGTAACAGACCTTATGCTGCATTTGTGTATCATGCATAAATGCAATTTTTACTGGCAAAACTCGAACAAATTTGCAGCTTATTCCTTGAATATGAGACAACAGCATGTCAAGAGTCATTTGTTGTGATTAGTGAAAGTCATGAGTGATGAAAATTTTGTTTTATCATGTCATTTGATCATACACAGGGACGTGGAGAGAGAAGAGATAACTGTTGCTTATTTGTGGTTGCTACCTGTTTCCAACTAAAACTGCTGGCTCTTTTACTATCTCCTTCAAAAAATCGACCACTTGATCACTCCATATCATTGCATCATACTCGATAATTGCTTTCTCACTCCACCCAAATCCTAGCAAGTCCACAGCATAAACTTTGTAATTTTTAGCCAATTCAGGTATGTTATACCTGCAAATTTGGAAAACAGAAAGAGCATTTAAGGCAGATATGACTAAGAACCTGAGATCAGAACACTTTCACTAACATAACAGTAGTTCAAACTCAATTAACCAAGTATATGATAAGTATTTTGTGCTCTAAGCCTCTAACTTCTCCTTGTTTCAGTTCCACCAAAAAAGGGCAATTAAATTTCAAATTTAGAGGTACACTTTTCAGTACTATTTACCATTCAAACAACTAAAACCTAATCCAGAAGTTCCACGCTGCTTGGGACAATGCCATTCTCTTTGAAGGAGAATTAGTTCTGACAAGAATTTTGCAGAAATCCCCATTTTTTTTCTATTTTTTCAATTATCATGATACCATTTTTGCTACATCAATAAATGAGCTGATAAATTAAGTACATCTGCGACTGACTCATGTGGTAATGAGCCACAACCTAAACGAAGATGAGCATAAGATGACAAACCTCCAATGGAAGGCAGAAGCACCAAACCCGTGAATAAGAACAATTGGGAGCCCTTCTCCTTGTACTACATAATGTATTTTACGACCACGCCAGGTCCAGAAATTGTAACCCTCTGGCTTGAATGGTAATCTCTCCGCCCCTACAGAAAACCATTCAACCTTAACAAGTTCCATTTATGCAAATGAAAGAACCTAATGTTCAGAAACAATTAATCCATACATCATCAAAACCAAATGTGAACAAAACCTAGGCATGCTCCAGCAATAGCAAGGTCCTTGTCTAAATTCGAAAGACAGAAGTTTCGAAAAGATCTCTGCTAAAAGCACTTTGCATCACTAAACTATCTTGAAACCTCTCACCATTCACCAATGTCGATAGTTACCCAGATTACAGGAAAAAAAAAAAGAAGAATTCCAAGTTTAAGAAACAAATGATTGAGTGAATGAATGAATAAAGATTACAGAACGACAAGAACTAATTGGCTATAGTTAAAAGCTGACCTTGAACAGGTTCAGGAGTCAAGGAAGAGCCTACGACTGAGACACCAGAAGCAACAATCCCCTTTAAAGCAAAACCCCTCCGGTTCATCTCACATTTGCTTCCTTCAAGTGAATGGCGGACAGACAAAGATAAAGTAATCAATTCAAAACAGAAGTAAAAGTCAGTCAGGGAATAATAAGTTGGAAGATTGGAGCTCAAATTGGCTTACTTGGCCGATGATAGTTTCTTGAAGGATAAAAAAACCTGTTAGAGATTGGGTTTAAAAACTCTGTTCTCACTGAAGGTGAGACTGCACATGAAGAAGCCATTCTACTTCTTCCAGAATAGTTCCTAAACCCTGACTAAAAATGAAGAGGAAACTTTAACTACTGGTTTAAGAGCAAGAGAAAAAGGGGATGAGAACTTCGATGAGAGTCAAAGAAAGCGAGAAAAGCGCCCAAGGGGATTTTTTATGACTTGGTTTTTAACGGTCAAGGTTCCAAGCCCGCGAGTTATGTGGCTGGTCTAACTTCAGGAGTTGTGGCAAAGTCCAAGCCATGCACCGGATTTCGATTTTGTACCCAAATTTCTCCTATGAACTTCCCTATTTCCAGGAAATTTAAGATCATTTTACTGTATTAATGCTGGTTAAGAAGATTTACTGTCTCATAAAATAAAAGAAAAACCGTTAAATTTGAGAAAGTTTGGTTGCATTCTTTAATATGCCAAGCAAGAGTTGACCACCTCTACGAATGCTCACAAACTTTTTGCCCAAAATTTTTCTAATATATATGCCTTTTAATTCTTAAACACTTTGGGATACATTTTCCTTCTGGTTATCTTCATTGATCTTATCATATCCGATACCAAAAACAGAATTAAGCAAGTGACAGACTCTAGAACTTCCATGCCATAACCAATCAAAGGTGCCTTTGAAGAGGAATTCCAATTTCCAAGTACATAGATTATCTTCCACAGAAGGCCAAATATATATCTAATTGCACCAGCCTCCTCCTCTCCTTGTCTGTAAAAAAAAAAAAGGTCAATTTTTGTAGAAAACCATAAGGAAAATCAATCAAGGAAATAACTTCCTCAACTTTAAAGTTTTTGAGCCTAGCGTCCCATCAAAACTACACCAGTAGATGCAATAGGCTATAGCCATCTCAGTTGCCTACTAAGGTTTAAACTTTGTCATTTGAGCTTCTTGGCTGTCCTTTCCCATTTCTTCTTTTGCTTTCTCCTTCTTTAGTTCTTTGTAGATATTTTCAATGTGGCAGAAGCCACTATATAAGCACCGCCCTTTTTTAAACCCTCAGCTCAAAGTTTCCACCATGAAAGCTGCTTCCTCTAACACTCTCAATTTTTCTTCAATTATCACCAAAACGGCAACAACACCATCATTTCCAACTAAATTTACAAGAACCCATTTTCTTAAACTCCCGCAAAGGTTTCAGAAGGACGCCTTCTTGAGAGCTTCAGCTAATCCCTTTAATTCTTCATTTCTCTCCAGTTCTTCTTCTTTCAACGCATTCCTTGAATCCAATGCAAATGACACGGTTTTATCTTGGAAGAAAGCGCCGGAAATTGTTGTCGGTAGAGGTGGAAAAGCTGGGGCTTTGGGATGCAAAGACAAAGTCATAACAGTGGTTCTTTTGGGATGGCTTGGGGCTAAAACAAAGCATTTAAGGAGATATGTAGAATGGTATAATTCAAGAGGAATCCATGCGGTTACTTTTGTTGTGGAAATTAAGGAATTGCTGTGGTTTGATCTGGGTGTAAGGCTTGAGCAGCGTGTGTCTGAACTTGGTAATGAGTTGACCAGGTGGGTTTTGGAGAAAGAGGAAGATGGTCGTGAAAGGTGCTTAATTTTCCATACTTTTAGCAACACTGGATGGTTGGCGTAAGTTTTTATGAATAAAGGTCTTCTTATTTTTTTTCTTTTTCTTTTTTAAATTTTGGTTGTGGATAGTAAATTCTGGCATTGTTTGTTTTCTTGGCAGATATGGTTCACTTCTTGATAGGTTTCAGGGAAGAGAGGGGTTGATAGAGAAGATAAGAGGAGTAATTATTGATTCAGGATCAGGGGACCCTTTGAATCCTAAGGTTTTGTTCTGTATGTTGATTCTTTGGCTTTAGTTATGATGTTTTAATGTTAAGTAGCTTTTGATTGATGATTGATGGATTTTTACTCAGTGAACTTTAAATTTTAAAAGAAAGCTTTATGTTAAATTATGAGCTTGAGTTCTTTTGCTGATATTACTTTAGATCAGTTCTAAACAGAACACAATGGCTTATAAGATTTAAGTAGCCACCTTATACAATGGGAAAAGGCTTAGGTGGTAGTTGTAGATCATCCTCTTTCTTCCAGGCAATCAAAGAGGATCGTGATTAATCTGGCTTTAATTAAAGAGAACGAGGATGAGTCCAGGTTCTCCATAAAACATTTGGGAATTTCTGTTGCTTGGTGGCACTACTCTCTTTTATGGTCCAAGTTACATCCATGTATAATGCTTTGATTACTCTATTGTGACTCTTATATTTACGTATTAGCTTTAGAAAGGACATTAGAATGGGTGTCAGTGGAAATTTATCATATTCACTCTATAAAATATATGTACTAACTCGTGAAGCAGATGCAAAAGTATCTGTCCTCTGGATGTTCAAATAATAGGGCTTTGATATCTTTACCTATTCCAACTTTGGTCAGAGTTCTATTATACTAAAATTGTGATTTTCACAAGATCTCCGGAACTGTATGAGGTTTTGAAAGGTTAAAGATGTGGTATCAAGGTCTTTGACTTGGAACAGTTCTGACATGTTTTTTATCCATCTTCATGCTCGTACTTTTATGCTCTGTAGAGGGGAAAAAAGGACTCATCCTATCCTAGGATATTCACAGTATTTAAGCCGAATTGTCATTTTCTTTTTTCCTTTGCAAAGATCTGGGAAAATATGTGTTGTCTCCTGCATTAAAATAAAGAAAACTAGTTAAATTTCTTTGACCTCACTTGCCGCTGTAAAAGGGTCTAGGTTCGTTTTTCTGCCTTTGGAATTTTGACATTCATTTTGATGAAGTAATTATCCTCATGTTGAAAACTCTGGCCTTTCCAATCAAATCGACTGAGAAAGGTATTGCTGATTCACATATTCTCTTCATCTTTGCAGGTCTGGGCTGGTGGATTTGCTGCTGCTATACTGAAGAAACGCAACTCTTCAATAAATGAATCAGAAAGTGCAGTGAGTGATTCAAAATTGCTGAAAGAGGAACCTGAGATGATTGAAGCTGTGCTGTTATCTGCACTGGAAAAGTTCTTTGCATTCTTTCTAAATATGCCTGATGTGGACACGTAGGTTTTCCCTTTACGCCCTATATTGTTAAATGACCAGAAATATGCTTTCATGGCTTCATACCATGCTATTTGCTGTCTCTGAATATGACCAAATATTGTGGTTGTGGTGAATAACTGATTGATGCTGGCTATCATTTTTTCCTCATTCTGCAGAAAGTTAAGAACAATCATTAATGCTATCATGGCGCACCATCCTCCATGTCCTCAGCTGTATCTTTATAGCACAGCTGATAAGGTCATTCCGTATAAATCAGTCGAGTTGTGTATTGAGGAGATGAGAAAGAAGGGGATAAAAGTATTCTCCTTTAACTTTGGCACATCTCCCCATGTCGACCACTATCGGACATTTCCCAATATATATTCATCGGAGCTTCATAATTTTTTGAAAGAATGTTTTGCTATTGTTAAACAAACATGAACCGTCCAAGTAATTGAATCCATTTTCTATTCTTGTATTCTGATGTTTCCTTCAAAAATGACTCCTAAATAAAACATTGCTTTAGTGCATAGCTTATCATTACATTCTTTGTAGTACTGGTAACCTTGTAGGCAGAATGTTTGACAGGAAACCTGAACTTCACTTATCAAGGTGATGCCATGAGATCATGGCTGAATGCTTGTAAATTGTAATGAACACTGCAGTGGTGCTAAAGCTGCAAAAGCTTTTCTTATTTTGAACATATTTGATTCTTAGAAGTTGGTGCTATGGACTTCTCTGCTGTTATAGCCTTGGACAATGAAGATTATGATATCAGTCTTTTGATCTGCTGTGGTGGATGTGAGTATTTGTGGTTTTATGTTTGCTGAAATTGGTTTTGAGTTACGCTGGCTTAGCAGGCATGTTTTCTTGTGGTTTTAATTACCACATTCAACTCTACAAAATTTAGTTTGGCAAAACGGCTATTACTATCAAAATTAATAAGACTTTTATTGCCAAGGAATTTCTGAAGGTTTCCGATTTTTAAATTTATTTATTAACGGAATAGTAACATTTAGTTCACTGTTACATTTACAGTGTATCAAATATAAACCTGATTAATAAATGGATATTCTCTATTCACTTCCCATAGATCCCAGTGATCGTAGTGACTGGGGACAATAACTATAACTGCTAATGACATTGATTTAAAACCAACTCTCTGGACCAAAAAGTTAGGCTTGGAATTGCATGCTTGAAGGACTGGGATTACCCACTAGCCGAGGGTCAAATTTCGAACTCTGCCCTTCACACAAACAGAAAAAACATGGGTTAAGCCCACACCACCAAACAGACATAATGATAGATGTAGTAACTTTGGACAAAACACGTTAACAAAATATTAAAAAATATTAAATTAAAAAAATTTGAGTTTAGTTTTAATATATTAAGTTTATTAATTAGTTAAAAATTAATAATCAAAAACTATTTTAATCTTATTTAAATAATTTTGAATTCGGTGTTTAGAAGTATTTATGGTTGATGATACGGTCAATGATATATATTTAATTATGGATAAAAACTATAAATGATTTTAGATATTATGAATATTTTAAGGTTAGATGTTAATGATGAATTTTATTATATTATATGATAATAAATTTTATATATATGTTATTTGTGTTAAAAGTTATTATATTTGATGTTATTATTATTTTATTTTGTTATAATTGTTTTTGTAATCATTAATTTTAAATTTAAATAATAAAATTATATTTAATTATAAATATTTTTATTTAATCATGTTAAATTTATTAATCGTATTATTAATCACGTCGTATCTTATATTGATAGGTTTAATAAACATGTTAATCATGTCTTATTGTATTACATGATTATTAAATATATATGTGTACATATTTTAAATATAAAATATAAATATTATTTATATTATGTTTATATTTAATTTTAATGTATTTTATATTTAATTATATCTAACACGTTTAAAATATAAAAATATAAATTCATAGGTTTACATAATGAAAAGGTAAATTCAAATGTCTGTAGCACCCATGTTCTTAATGCATGGAGAACATATTTGTTAGGATGTAATGAAGCAATAACTAATGTCTTAATGCACTCTGTAAAGCTGAAAAGTTCAGGTGTTTCATACAAAATCATAACAAAGGAAAGAGCAAAACACGTGCTTGGTTATATTTTCAAACAAAAAGTCCTGGGAATTGTCGTCCCATGAAAATCTAAACCATGATCTGGCAACAACAACAACTAGATTGGTAGCTAGATGGGTACCTGAGAGCTAAAAGGCTCCTACTTAGCCTTGCTTTTTAAGTTAAAAAACTCAAGTAGACGCTAGAAGGCGTCCAGGTTCGGTGCACCTAATCCAAGTCAAACTATACTATTTATCGTGAAGTTTTCTTTTTATTTTGTTTTCATCATTGGGTCTTCCGAATTGAAAGCAGAAAAGCAGAAGGAAAAAAGAGAAAAAGAAAAAGCTCCGTCTCGTAGACCGTCTCTCTGTCTTCTCCCTGTGTCTGATATAGATGACGATTTCGGAAGACCAGAAGGAATCGACTTTGGTGAATCCAAAACTATCTCCGCCAAAATCATATGGCGCCGTCGTTCTTGGTGGCACTTTCGACCGCTTGCACGACGGGCACCACCTGTTCCTCAAAGTAACTTTTCTCTCTCTTTATTCTTATTGGTTTATTGTTATTGTTGTTTTGCAATTTACAGTAACTTTATCCGGATATTGAATGAAAAAGAATTGTGTTGGAAATAGTCAGCGGTGGAGTTGGCCAGGGATCGAATCGTGGTGGGTGTTTGTGATGGTCCCATGTTAACCAAAAAACAGGTAATATTATTAATTTAACATGAAAGTTATTGGCTTTTTACTCTGAACTTTAAGAAAGAAAAAGAAAAGAAGTGTTTTTAATGGCTGAAGCAATTTCTCTGTAGTTTGCTGAATTGATACAACCCATTGAGGAAAGGATGCGTAATGTTGAGAATTGCATCAAGGTAATGTAATGAAACTACGAAAGAAAATCGGGTTTCAGTCTTTTGATAATTTAATTACTGTAATTTTGCTTATATCTGTGCAGTCTATCAACCCAAAGCTGGTGGTGCAAGTTGAACCAATTACAGATCCCTATGGACCTTCAATCATTGATAAAAATTTGGAGGCCATCGTTGTCAGGTTTGTCATTGACTAACATGTTCCTTATTATCTATCATAATGATACAAAGTAGCCAACTTTTCTGAGAAAACCGAGTTTTCTGGTAATCTTACTCTGCTTTTGGTTCTTCTGCTTTCAACTGCAGAAAAATTGGGTCGCCTTTTTTTATTCCATTGCTTCTCTGATCCTTGCAGTTTTAAGCTTTCTTTCACCTCTTTAAATTTGCCTCCTTTATATTTGCAATGAATCAAATCAATGATTTGTCTGTGTTTACTGTTTATAAAAGTTGGAATCGTTGCCTAACTGGTCTGGTTTCTTGACAGCAAGGAGACATTACCTGGTGGAGTATCAGTTAACAAGAAAAGAGCAGAGAGAGGCCTTTCACAGTTAAAGGTTTGTTTTTTCTGGTTGATTTCTGTTCTGTAAGTAGGATATGAATGTAATTTACTAATTCCTGATCTCAACTTTGAAGGTGAAGTGAGGCAAATAGTCTTTAGAATTTCATGAAATTTTGTCAAAGATTAGGCCTTAATATTGTGCATATTCTGCAGATTGAGGTTGTAGATCTAGTTTCTGAAGAATCTGGTGAAGACAAGCTGAGTTCAACAACACTAAGGAAGCTTGAGGCTGAGAAGGCCAAAAACCAACAACCTGCACAAACTTGATAATAAACTGATATGATATCAATGGCTTGAAAAAATTGCTTGTCAGATTCTTTTCCCTTTTTTGTGAAACCTCCCACAGCAAAAATTGTATAGGGAAACCTGAATTCAATACAATAAAAGCATGCATGCATGTTTCTTCTTCTCAAAAGTTGCAACATCTTGAACATAACAACACGGATAGATAGAACTACAGTCTTCTGAGATGCATGATGATGATCTCTCATCATCAAGTTTGTAAGCAGAGAGGAAACTAGATCAAATTTTAGGAACCAATTCTTCTTGCTCTCATTGTAATGAAATAGGAACTTTACTTTGTAAGAAATCTTATTAGTAAACTGAAACCTTTACTACTAACCAGTCATGTGAAGCTAATTTTCCATTCCCTATAGCAACAGGCACTCAAAGACCAATCCAAAACCAAGTCATTTGCCGCAATTTCCTATGTTTATTCAGCATCTTTATCACTGTTTCTTCCTTTTCCCTTCTCTTTTGACGAGCGAAAATGGGTTAAAGACAAACAAGTATCTAGGAAACACAAAAAAGAGAACTTGAGAACTTGTTTTGAGAGTCGGGGCAGGGTTGGCACAGGAAACTGTGGCAGAGGATTTCAATTCCTAAATTGTTTTGAGAGTCGGGGCAGGGGATTTTGATTTCTCAAAGACCAATGAAACGAAAACAGGTGAATGAATGATATTAAACGGTTGCGTTTAATGAACAACCTATTTTCGCGGGCTTTGATTGCCTCCTCCAACATCCAACGGCTATCCTCTGACAAACGAAAATTTAAAATTCCGTAACTGAACAATCGCGTTCCCTGATTCACTTTAAACTCCCACATTCAACAGTTTTTCTTTTGTATTTGGCTTCGATCATTCACCTCCAAACCTCATACACTTACAGAGAAAAACAGTGAAAAGATAAACAGAAAAGGAGTCTTTGGCAAGTTAGGTAGCCTTTTGACACTCAACAGAGCAGGGCTAAGAATTCTCCTCTGTTTACTTGTAATCCCATTTTCAGGTTTTCCTTCTTCATTTCACGACTCTTATATTCTTCACGGGTTTTTTTTTTTTTTTGCCAAATAAAATGGCTTATGTTTTTCCCATTAAATGTTTTTCCTTTCCTTCTTTATTCATGCAATCGTGTCCCTGAGTTTGTCTTGGTTAACATGGTTTACTTAGACTCCTGAAGAATCATTGTAAAAGAAGATAACCAAGAATCTTTAGAAGTTTATTCATAAAAGGGTTCGTTTCTCTTCTTTTACAACCAGTGGGTTTTCATTTTTGATGCTTTTTTTCCCCCGGAAACAGTTTTCATTTCCTATTCTTGATTGTTTGGCAGGAGGGTTGTTTGCAAAATTCTTGCAAAGATGAATGATCTAATGACAAATTCGTTTGTAAGTTATGTGGAACTTAAGAAGCAGGCACAGAAAGACCTGGAAGCCGATCTTGATATAGAAGAAGGCCAAGGCCAACTCAACCCCGCAGATGAAAAAAACCTCTCTCAGTTCTTCGAAGAAGTGGAATCAATCAAGATCACGATGGAAGAGATTACCAATCTCGTGTTTGATCTTCAAGCCCTTAATGAAGAAACTAAGTCCAGTCACAGCGCCAAAGTTCTTCGAGGGTTGAGAGAGCGAATGGAGGCAGACACGGTTTTTATTCTTAGAAAAGCAAAGATTGTCAAGACAAGGCTTGAATCACTTGACAGATCCAATGTAACCAATAGGAGATTGTCAGAAGCGTATAAAGAAGGGAGTTGTGTTGATCGAACCCGGATGTCGGTTACCAATAGTTTGAGGGTTAAGCTTCGGCAAATGATGAATGATTTTCAGGCCTTGAGGGAAAAGATGATGTTGGATCACAAAGACGATCTCAAGAGAAGATACTATAATGCCACTGGAGAGTTACCGAGTGAAGCCGTGCTTGAAAAGATGGTTTCAGGCGGTGAAAAAGATCAATTATTTGCAGAGAAAGTGGAAAAGGATTTAAGGAGCAAGGAAAGGCATGAGGCTATGTTGGATATTCAGAGAAGTTTGCAAAGGCTGCATCAGGTGTTCCTTGACATGGCTGTTCTTGTTGAGGCACAAGGTGAAAACATGGATAATATTGAAGAACATGTGGCCAATGCAGGTAATTTTGTCTGTGGTGGAACCAACAGCCTTTACTATGCAAATCAAATGAAGAAGAAGAAGAAGGCATGGGTGTATTGGGTTTGGGCCGTTGGGCTGATTGTACTTCTAGTTTGCATTATTTCCATGTTAGCTTCTTGAGAAGCACAAGATCAGGCAAAGTTTTGGGCACTTTTGAAGGGGTTCAAGGTCTGTAAATTCGTTCATCTAATTGTCTTTTGATCAAATTTCTTTCAGTTACTCTGACTGAGACAATGTTTTGCGTCTTGTTGTCTGACATTAATGTCCATCGACTTGCTTCGTTGAGTTGCTGTCTGTCTGTTCTCCTTTCTGGTTTTTGGGTCTCTTAAGATTGATCACTCTTCTGTAACACCTACCCAGTGGAGCACCAGAGAGGTGGTTTCAACATTTTGAATAAATGTGGAATAATTTCAGAACACATCAATTTGTAGGCGTCTGCCTTTTTAATAACAAAAATTTGTAGTATAATGGTAATGTACGCCAAACATAACTGATCTTGCAAACTTCATTTTGCAAAAGCGATAGCTTGACGAAAGATGAAAAAGGGGGACCACCCAAAGGTATCACCAACACTGTGGGGGGAAAAGATCTGAAAAGGAAATGTAAGAATATTTTCTATCAGGTAAGGAAAAACCTTATCCACATTGGTAAATTAAATTGAAGCCAAAGGAATTATTGCTCAGTTTCTTTGCATTAGTGACAAACAAATGGCATCCATCACTCTAACTCCAACAAAGCAGCTCTCCCTGGAATCAAATGCCACGCAGACCCTATCTCTGCTTGAACGATGTTCGAGAATGGAGGAACTCAAGCAGATTCAGGCACAGATGTTCAAAACAGGCCTTGTTGCAGATACCATCACAGTGAGCAGAATCCTTACTTTCTGTGTGTCTCCGAAATATGGTAATCTAGAATACGCCCAGATGGTTTTTGATAGAGTAAGCAGACCCAATACTTTCATGTACAACACCATGATTAGAGGATACTCAAACCACAAAGAACCAGAAAAGGCCTTTCTTCTATATCAGCAAATGCTCTGTCATTCAGTTCCACACAATTCCTACACTTTCCCGTTCCTGCTTAAAGCTTGTTCCAGCTTGTTAGCCATTGAAGAAACCAAGCAAATTCACGCTCATGTTATAAAGTTAGGTTTTGGCTCGGAGGTTTTTGCCACAAATTCCCTGCTTCATGTCTATGCAACATCAGGCAGCATCAAAGCCGCTCGTCTGCTATTTGACCAGGTCCCTGAACGAGATACTGTTTCTTGGAACTCGATGATTGATGGCTATACAAAGTGTGGCAAAATGGAAATTGCACATGAATTTTTTAAGGACATGCCGACAAAGAATGTCATCTCTTGGACGACTATGATTTCTGGCTATGTTGGGGCTGGCATGTTCAATGAAGCCTTGAATTTATTTCATGAAATGCAGATTGAAGGTGTGAAACCTGACAATGTGGCCCTGGCAAGCACTCTCTCTGCTTGCTCACATCTTGGAGCATTGGATCAAGGCAGATGGATTCACGCATATATTGACAGAATAGGAGTTGAGATTGACCCAATTTTAGGCTGCGTTCTTATAGACATGTTTGCGAAGTGTGGTGACATGGAAGAAGCTTTAGAAGTTTTTAGGAAAGTGAGGAAGAAAGAAGTCTCTTTATGGACAGCAGTAATCTCTGGATTTGCAATTCATGGCCGTGGAAGAGAAGCGCTTGTATGGTTTGACAATATGCAAAAGGTAGGAATCCGCCCAAACCATATCACTTTTACTACAATTCTGACAGCATGTAGCCATTCAGGACTGGTTGAAGAAGGAAAATCCTTGTTTGAGAGCATGGACAGAGTTCACAAGCTTAGCCCAACAATAGAGCATTATGGGTGCATGGTTGACCTACTAGGCCGGGCAGGGTTCCTGAGAGAAGCAATGGGATTGATTGAGAAAATGCCTGTAAAACCAAATGCTGTCGTTTGGGGAGCACTGCTCAATGCCTGCCGGATGCATAAAAATGTTGAATTAGGCAAAAAGATAGGAAAATTCCTGATTGAAGAAGATCCAAACCACGGTGGCCGATACATTCACTTGGCAAGCATTCATGCAGTGGCAGGGGACTGGGACCGAGCAGTTGAAGCAAGGAGGCAGATGAAAGATCGAGGAGTTTCCAAACTTCCTGGGTGCAGTGCAATCAGCCTCAATGGGGTTGTCCATGAATTTTTAGCCGGAGGCCAGTCCCATCCACAGATAACAGACATTTACCAAATGTGGGATAGTATTGGGGAAAGACTTGAAAAAGAAGGATACAAACCTGCATTGGGGAATCTACTACTTGATCTAGAGGATGAAGCCAATGAAATGGCAATCAATCGGCACAGTGAGAGGTTGGCTATTGCATTTGGATTACTTGGAACAAAACCAGGCACAACGATTAGAATTGTCAAGAATCTTCGGGTATGTGAGGAATGCCACACGGTAACAAAACTTATCTCCAAGATATATGATAGGGAGATTGTCATGAGGGATAGGACCAGGTTCCACCTTTTTAGGGATGGCAAATGTACTTGTGGAGATAAATGGTGAGGAGGGAAAGAGCACCACATTATCAACTGACTAATTAAAACAGAAACTTGAAATTACATTATTTCGAAACTTGGCTAGCAAGAAAGCTTTTGCTTAACAGGAACCAAAATCTTCACCTCTAGAAAAATGAAACAAGCGAGTCCACTTATTCTTCAAACTTTGGACACTGTACAATCTGTACTTCAGCAGTTCAGCCAATGCTAAGATGTTGTTTAGCTATCCAAGCTTGTTCGGGCTCTAGCTGGACCGTTCCAATCTGAGTGGCCATGAATAAAATGAAAAAATCAATTTGGTAATAGACAGTAGATAATGCCAAGCATATCTGGAAGGCCATCTGAAAAAGGATTTCAATCAGCGAGCCACCTCTCCTTAGAAATACGAGTTTCAAACCATTTGACATGATCTTTTGTAGAAAGAACATAGTGACTAGCGCTGACTGAAACATTATTAGCAAGCCCAAAAAGTTGAATCAAGAATACAAACCCAGCTTCCTCCAAGTTTATCCAGTTACAGTTGAAGAAAGTATATAAGTACCTTTGCATTTTCAACGCAAACAAAATCTTTGTAACATGCTTCCATCTGCAGATGTGGGTTCCATAAAACAGTATCTGACCAACTGCAAGGGCAAAGTGGATGATTGAGGAAAATTTTTACTCAACTCTAATAAAACAGAGATGTGAGAGTTGGATTTGCATACTTTGTATTCCTTATTGATATTACATCACCTAAGCCATTATCAAGGTGCAGCTCCTCAGGAGCATTAAGGTAAATGCAATCTACAAATCCAGGAAAAGTGATGGCATCCCTGAATTGTAAATATAACAGTTAGAAAGTGCAGCAAAATTTTTTTCATAAGAATCTTAAAGACTCGTATTCTCAAATAGTAGGCTAAAAATTAGAAATATAAAGAAGACAGAGTTGATACTAAAACTAAGAACACCTAACAACTACAAATTTCTTTGGTCCTAAGTACAATTTCAATCAGGCATTGAAAGATTTGAGTAACAATGTTAACCCTGCAACATTCAAAATTCAATATCAAGATTTGATTAAGTTAGGAACCTAGTCACTGTTATGCTATATAAAAGGAAGATTCTCCAGAGATCTTAATAAGCTCTCTCTATCACACCTACAGTTCCAATATTTGTACTGGAACTAGCCTCCAATTATAGTTCTGTGCATAATATACTGACCTTTCCTCCCTACCCTCAATTGGATTCTTAGGATCTGGATCTTTATTCAGTGTTTTGCAACCTTTCAAACCTCTCACCGATACCCCTGTTATAGATGCCTGCATCAAAATGTTTAATATCAATTTCTAACTAGCTTCATTCAAGTTTTAAGGCAAAGTAACTCAGACAAAACGCATAAGATATAATATACATGTGTGTATGAATGTGTTGTGCGCTGTTTTCCTTTTCTCCCATAAACAATTCTAAATTCCACTTCTTGCATTCTCGCTAAAAAGAAATCTCCATTACTATACAAAGAAATGTTAACTTGGACCAGCTAGAAGACCTGCATCCACCAACCATGGAATTGTAATTATAGGTACTTACACGAAAATATGTATGCAAGGCAGTGCTGAAAGAAAATGGCTTATTGTCTGTGTTTGTAACTATTAGTTCGGTGGAAATGCTCTTTGTATTTAGAATGACCTGAAGAAACAAAAAGGAACAAACTGCCAATTCAATTAGTAAACAGACAAGCTATAATTGCATAGGTGAATCAACATAAGTAGTTTGGACTTGTCCAATACCTTTATACTAACACATAAATCTAACAACTAGCTTAGAAAGTACGATTGTCATCATGCAGAATACCATTGCCCATACTGCTGAGTAATCAATTACTGACCTTATATCTAGCCTGAAAACTGAAATCCCACATGGCACGACTGTAAGGACCATCTTTTAGCTCAAGAGTTACAATAGGATTGCCTTCCACATTTTCGGACTCCACAAGGGACCAATCCATATTCCTTGCAAATCCATGCTGTGAATTGCATAAAAATTTCCACAATTTAAACAAAAGTAGAAGATAGACATAAATCAATAAAGTAAATTAAAACATAAAATAGTAGTAGTTCAATTGTTCCTTTCTTTTTCAGGGTGGTTTTTACAGGCATGAACTGAAGATCAAGAGTGGAAAAAACCACTCAGATCAACTTCACGGCAGTATGTAGACTACCCTGCAGATCCTAGTATCATTCTCAAAGAGGATAGCAACTTGGAGTAAAATATGGCCCTATGTCAGGTCACCCTGTCAGGGTCATAGTAGCACCACTAGCCAGTTCTCACTAAACTGCCACTATCAGACCATGTTAAATGGCTCGCAAAATGAAACAATAAATATGAAATGCGGTAAAATTGATGAAAGCTACTTCAGGTAGATAAAGGAAATTAGCGGATTTTAAAACTTAGAACAAGAATTAGAAGGGCATACCTGCTGCATTGTGCCAGGTCCAAACTGTGGGAAACAATGTGGAATACCTCCACTATCCAAATAAAAACAAAAAACAGTCAGTATCCGCATGCATTCCAATTCATTATTACAATGAACTACATTTTGTGGTAATGAAGCGATTTAGAAACAATTGCTTACAACCATAATCTACTTTTAATCAGATTAATTTTAGCTAGTTTTACCAAACATTTAATGCTAGCTTCACCCAACTATCCAATGGCTTATTTTGAAATAGAAATAGCTAAAATCTAAGTAAAGAATGTGGTGGAGAAAAAACCTGATTGGCTTCTTTTTGTCAAATACAGCATCAGGCCGCACAAAAAGAAGGTCTCTTCCACTTGGGACTTTCCAAGATGTAATGCACCCTCCAAATAAATAAACCTCAGCTTCACTACAACATCAAAAACTAAAATCAAAACATTCACTCCATCAAGGAACAAGCAAGTATATCAAACTATTCCTTTCAGACCCGTCTCAATAAAAAAAAAATCCTCACCAATTAAGCAGCAAACCTGGGGAGTTAGATGAATTTGAAAAGACCCAGAAAAGAAAATTTCACAAAAAATGCATCATCTTTAGAATATTTAAAGATTTGAAATGTACCTTCCACCATCAGAAGTGAGCACAAGCTTGGGTAAATTGCCTTCCCCTTGCGTTATTTTGACCCCCAAAGACACAGCTTCCTTGTTTGAAGTTGCAAAAGCCATGCCTGAGTATCTGCAGAAACAATATAAACTCCGTAGGCTTCAAAGCTTAAAACTTTTTAACCACTAGACGCAAACTGCATCGTTTCACTTCGGAAAACATATGAGAAAACAGAAACTGACCGCTTAGTCGGGCGTAGATTAGGAGAGTTTAAGCCAGGGACAGAGAATGGCATCGAAACCATCGCCATTTTATTCGATTTAAGCAGAAGGGTCAGCGCCAAATGCGAAGTGAAGTGGATGTAACGAGAAAGTAAGTCACTTAAAAACCAACGATCGGGTTTAGAGCGCTGATCGTTTTCGTCGTTATGGCATGTTCGTAAATATTCGCATATTCCTCCCCCTTTTTTATTTATTTTTTACTTTTTTTATTAGGTTAGCGGAGGATGATGGGCCGAATAGTGGATTCATCTATCTTTACTGGGCCAAAGTGAGTCTCTCCTTGATGGGCCGAAGTAAGCTCCTGAGTTTTTGGTATTTGTCTTTCATGGGCTGACCCTATCAGCAGTCCTACCATAGGGATTTGTCTGTCTTTTTTGGGCCTATCTGAGTGCCCATTTGTACTTCTTTAGATTTGGTTTATTAAACATAAGTATTTTTCTAAAAAATACATGTAAAGAAAAACAATAAAATAATTATTTTCATTTCAATAAATAATTTCAATTACTACATAACTCAAACTTGAATCCTTTCTTGGAGTTTATTACAGTTGGAGTGTCAAACAATTAGAACTTTACAATTACCTTTTTTTTTTCCCTTAAATTTGGTTCCTCAATACATGTCCTGCAACTTTTGCAGAAGGTATATATTTTGAAGCAGAAAATAAATTTTATACACAAACTTTTTTGGGCTGAATTTTGGCAAACTTTTCAACAGTTAGCATGGTGGCAAATCCTTGGGTGCAGGCAGAATGGATTGAGCAGCTCCTGGTCCATCTTCAACCACAAATGCCATTTTCAATCCCCAGCCAGTGTGCAGCTCCAAATGACAATGCATAAACCAAACACCTAAACCAGGAAAAAGAAAATAAATTAATCATATGGTTACTCTATTAATTCTAGGCTAAGATTTTTTTTTTCTGTGGTTACTTATTCTAGTCGAACATGGATACCTGGATTGTCTGCTCTAAAGCGAATGGCGGTCCAACCCCCTGTGGGAACACCAACTGTGTTTCGTTCAACAGGATCAACTAAGTTGTACTTAGCCGGATCTTTGACAGGATCAAAATTTCCGATACCAGTTCCCACGACGAAGAAGTTATAGCCATGGAGATGGAATGGATGTGACTCAACAGTTAGAAGATTGGTGTCTTGCAGCACTAGCTCTACTGTAGAATTGAAGGCAATCTTGCTAAGCCTTGTACCATGTGCGGTGCCGAGATTCGCTGTGAGGGGTGCACCGGTATAGTTGAACGGCTTAGGGGGTTTGTCAGGGAAATCAATCCGAAAAACTCCCTTCATATTGAAGTAATGAGCTTGGAGAAGTCCAACTTCGGGCATTACGAAAGAGATATTGTTCAAGGAGGCTAGGAGTTTTGTTCCATTTACGCATGTCGGACAAGGATCTTTGCCGAAACCGATTGTGTAGAAGAGTTTTCGATCAACTTTAAGGGGCACATTTGCAGGAAACTTTGCGGAGTTTAAGCTCCTTAGCTTTTTGTTGTAGCCCAAAGCGAAAGTTGTGTCATTGGGAGCTGGCAGTTGGGGAAGGGTTGGAAGAACAGTGTTAGGGATTCCTTTGTATTGGAGTATCCCTGTCGCTGTTTTGTTGTCTATAGGAAGTGGAGCATCCATGAAAGGCCTAGAAGCCATGAAATATCTGCCAGGCATTTGGTTGGCTCGAACAAGAACGTTCGTCGTTTGCCCAGGTGCAATCAATATAGCTTGCGTGGTGAATGGCTTTGTATAAACTGCATCAACCTCAACGACTGTCATGTCGTGACCAGCAATGGCAAAGAAAAGCTCGTCGTTGAGGGCAGCGTTGATGATTCTTAGCAAGTATGTCTTGCCTGATTCAACCTCCATTGCAAAAGTATCTAAAAAACATTCAGAATTGAACAGTGAGCATTGCATGTAAAACAATTTATATGGTTCCTCACTCCTGATATATCTTCTGCACATGTTATAAAGCAACATTTTCTTGAAGGTTCTGCTACCATAACTTGAAAAAAAATTGCATAGCTTCATGTGATGTTATTTATATATGCCATGGCTTGAAGTCTCTTCTAGGTAAGTAACTTTGCTTACGTTTCTCAGAGCATGGAAAGAGAGGTCCTGGCTTCCCGTTGATGGTGTGCGCATCTGACATATTCGGTGGCAAGCCCGTGTTGGTTCCTTGCTTGACTATCTCTTCCACATCTTTGTGCCACCATTCCCCTGTGGTATGAACAAACAGATTTTGTAGCTGGCTTCAAGATTTACTAAATCTTAAACTCCAAACATTTTTCAAGTTCCCAAGGAACTTGTTAAATCAATCAAAATGACCCTAGAACCGACCTAATATAATGATCTGTTCCATGTTTGGCTGGGGGAATGGAAATGGCGTCCCTTCTTTTGGCATGATGACAATTGCTCCATAGACTGTAGCCCTTAGCCACAGAATGTGCGCATGCCACCATAAAGTTCCTCTCTGCCCTGTTACATTGAAGTCGTAATTGTAGCTAGTCCCGGTCTTAATTGGACACTGTGTTATGTAAGCTGGTCCGTCTGCCCAACCATTTCGATATTGCTTCAATCCATGCCTGAAGAGATCACCAAGCAACAAATTAAGTATGAAGGAATTTTGTTTGAAATTTATTTTCCGCATATAGTTTAGCGAATCCCTACCAGTGAATGGACATGTTATATTTTGCATGGTTAGTAACATTGACAATAACTCTGTCTCCCTCTCTAACATAGATTGTAGGCCCTGGAAACCTCCCATTTACTGTTACAATTGGCTTTGCATGGCACAGTCTGCTAACGTTCTTCACTTGGATCTGTTTAAAAGACATCATAGAGAACTCATCGAGTGGAACAGCCGAAGATGTATAAAATAAATGAGAATTAAATATGAAATGTGCACTTCTGATTTGACTCACATCAAACTGGTATTTCTTTACGGCAGCTTCTGCTGGAAAAGAGATGAATGCGAGGAATCCCACAAGAAAAAGGGTCATTCTGGAAAAGGAGCCGCCTCGGATAGCCATTTGTCTAGGCAAATACTTCTAATTATTATGTCTTTCTGTGGATGAGACATGAAGGTGAAAATATGAAGTATTTATATAAAGCTAAAAGAGGGTAACTATACCATTTGTTAAGGAGAAGGAGGAGAAGGGAATGTAGCTGATTAGGTAGAAATTGCAAAGGGGTTGTCGTATGTCAAAGCTTGTAAGCAAAATACTGAAAGGAACTTTAGGACTATTGACTGGCGTAGAGTCTTGGATTGCTTAATTAAGATGAATTTTTTTTCAGAATCAGGGTGCTTTTGTTTTAGTTACCCCATTTCCGTTTTTCATGGCTTCTCCATTTTGATCTTAAAATGATTGAAAGATTTGGGATTGAAAGGTATATACCAACCTAATCCCACATACAATACTAAGCTTTACCGTTAAGGAACAGTTATAGGATTCTGATACTCCACAGGCACTTTTTAACATCCATGGTAAAATCATCCTGCATGGTCATTTCTAGTTCACATGAAATGTTTTTGGTCACATGTCATTCTCAATAGGCATTCCTCTTTACCAATCAGCTGCTTCTCACGGCCCCAGTGAGTCCTTTGGAAATGTCAGACTGCAGCCCTTTACCATGGTTTATCCATTAAAAAACTAATTCAGAAGGGCTTACTTCTAAGCATTTTGTTGCATTTCTTTGTGAGGCCGGTTTGCTTATCTATGGTACTTTCCCTTATTAAGATGCTTCGCAGAGAAACTTTGTATTGCTTGTGACCAAACCATTTTTCCAAATAGAAAAGTAAAGATGGAGGAAAATCAATCTTAAAGTAAAGAAATGAGACAGTCATGAAATAGTACCTGAACTCCCTAGTCCATAAAGTAGAACCTCTGTTGCGGGATGGACAATCATGAGGGAGCTGCCATTATTCTAGCAAATTTTTCTTTTCTGCATTACAGCTCTCTGCCTCTGTAAATGAGAGTCTTTCAAATGATCACATGGCTAGCTTTGCCAAAGGAGCAAATGTGCAGGCAGGAGGTTCCTTGGGCATATAGCCAGAATGGAAGCATTGCCCTGTGAAGACAAGTTCTCCATGGATAGAGCAAATGTGAAGCTTATTTCCCCTCTTACCCCTTTCTCTTTCTCTTTCTCTTCCCACAAAGAAACATTCCAACATAAGCAGGGGAGGGAAAGGAAATCACAAAACTCCTACGGCAAGAATACAGTAAAAGAAAAATGAAGATTATATCTCAATGCTGACTTTAGTTGACATGAAACTTGGAGTTTTGATCAAGTGAAGATATCATAATTCCCCTTTCTCCTAAACTAGATTGGTTTTCATAAGTAACAATGCTTCCAATTATTAATGACAAATAAAAAGTTCTTAATGGCAGCCTGAGTTACTCTATGGATTTCACCAAAACCTTGCCCATGATCATTGCTGACACCAGAATCCACACTTCTCAGAATCTAAGGAGAATCTTGTTGATGAATGCATTTCCTAAGCATAAATACAAAATCTATATTCTTTCTTGTCCTTCTTGAATAACATATAGAATCATCAATATTTGACCATTGAGAAGGAAATAACAGAAGAAGATTGGTCCTCTTGGGGTATTTCAGATCAGCTGGTCAGCTTAGGCCGACCCTGGAAGATATCTCAGCTAGTTGAACCTATTTTTGGTCCAAACCAACCCCATGACATAACTCACATGCATGATTACACAGATCTTGATCATGTGGTTCAACTTTGACCAATACGACAAAGATTGAGGGAAATTAGATTTATGTATGAGCTTTCAATCAATTGGACACTAATAATAGAAGCTGAATGGCATTAGCAAGCAAACCAAAAGGACAGGGAAGAAAAAATGCAGACACGAGGGCACTAAAACTAGAGGCAGCCAGATATGATTAATAAAAATCATAGATTGACCTAAACAGACAAAGAACTCTCTGACTAAATTAAATTAGTTAAAGAAAAGATGTTTAGTTCCCTCAACCAATAACCAAAACTTTAAAGAGACAGATTCCAGACATGGGCTTTGTCGCTTTCTGCAAAACAAGTTCATTTTTCCTTCACCTTTGTCAGGATTCAGCAACAAAGACAATGTAATTCCT